GTGTGATCACGGGCAGCTCTTTCATGGGGTTTAATGCAATATAGGATGTGAGTTCCTCCCATTGTTGCTTCTCAGGTACCCTGTCTTAGAAAGACTTCACCCTGTCACTCTGACTTCACCTCCTCATGGAATGTTCACTACTTGTGTTCTAGACATTAAAGGTGTGTCTCTCACCAGGAGGGCTCTGTGTCTGCTGTGTTGACATGGGTAGAATCTGCCCTGGATGGTGGCCAGACACTTACTCCATCTTGTATCTAAGGCCTTTGAGTGCCATGCACTCTTCTGGATGACAACATCCACTGCAGAACGTGGGCTGTTTCAGGGAGAGAGAGCAAGCAGAGCCCTCCTACTCCTAACACACAGACTGCACACGGGCACATCCTCCCCACCCTGAACCTCACCCACCAGCAGTAAGGACAAGGAAGAGGAGGTTGCTCTATGACAGACCAAAGGGATAAAATGATGACCTCCCTGTTAGAGGAGAAAAAAGTTCATAGGTCCCAGGCAAAGGCTCTCTCCAGCTGCTTACCCACACAAGGTGGAGAGTGTATATCAGAACTGCTTTTCAGACCCACTAGAACAGTATTAAACATGTAGTTTTGTTCACCCACTGAGCTGGGTCACATGACTGTCTCCATGAGCTCACTTTCTGTGTACAATAACAGCCCACTAGAGAACCCCGGGCTTTGTCACTGCTGGTCACCAAGACTGCTGAAGTGAACTTATCACCAAAGTCAGGGTTTCGAGCAACCAACATGTTTAAACAAGACAAAGGTCCGCTCCAGTTTTGGCCTGGACTAAGCCCCTTGCTCTCTAGACAGGGCACCCCTTCAAAGTGACCCCATAATGGGATCCCATAATATAGCATCGGTCTCATTTTGTGACAGAAACCTCTCTGAAAGCTCGTCTTATCTTGATCCTCTAAACCCAAAGTTTATTCTGACATAACACTAACTTTAGAGACTATAGAATTTAGAAACCCACCTTTATGCTGACTGACTCCTCCTCACACAGAGAAATGGGCAGTGACAGGGGTCCCAGTAAAGGAACGCCCCCTTGATCAGGAGTCAATCCCACCTTCTCTAAGTTTTCAAAACACATGCCCACGCCCCATCCCCTTAACTGTCCCAAGAAAGTCACCACCATGAATGACACTGGCATTACAACCGACACGGAGAGATTTATACAACATTTGTTACCCATTATTACAGTAGTCTCTGAAGTGGTGGTAGGCTCTGGAGTGGTATAAGGCTCTGGAGTGGTCAGCATTGCATGTCCATACATAGATGAGAGAGAGAAATAGAAAATATAAAGTTAAGTCTCCATTGAGAAAAGCCAAGACATGCAAGTACAGTGAAATCTGATGTCGGGATGTGCTTCAGGACCTGTATTAGGTAATGCCTACAACTAGAGATCTTCCCTGTGGCCAGTCTTGGTTGCACCACCCATCATGCTGACAGCTGGACAGGTAGGGTTCCTGTCCTGAGCAGTACACAGCTCCCAAGAGATTGTTCCCTGAGACCTGACAGAGGGGGCCCCTCCAGGTGCTGATACAGAATGGACACAGTCCAGTTGCAGACAGATGACATCTTCATCCTGGATGTTCCCCCTGTCGTCACAGACAGTGCCCAGGTAGTCTTGGCACAGGACCTCCACTCAGCCCTTACACTGGTCACCGCCGTTCACCAGCCTCAGAGGCAAAGCTGCAGGAACTGCTCCCCTGGCGTGCTGTGCTCTGTACTAAGACCACCTGTGCCCTTCTTCCTCTGACCTCCAGTGCTGTATTGTTTGGACCTTAAAAATGACCTTCTTCATAGGCTTCCCACTCCCCTGTACCTCAATTCTCTGACAATGTCCAGACAAGGGACCCTCAGAGTCACCTCTTCAGTCCGCATTCAGCCCTGACTGTCCCAGGGCAGAACTCTTGACTCAGTTTCCATCAGCTTCCAGGATATCCATGTCTACCATCCAAACCTACTCTCCCTCCTCCATCGGGATCCAGGATGCCACCCTGCGACATCCTGTGCCAGTGTGCTGAGAAGGTGGACATCAACTTTGATGTCTTCCTCCGCCTCTCTGCCCTGCTCTCATCTGTATCCCTTGCTTGGTCCTTGAGTTTCCTCTTGACCAAGGCATGTGTATTTCAGTCACTTCCCTGCCCTCAGTGCTTCAGCATAGGCCAGGAACAGTGGCACACAACTGTAAGCACTCAGGAGGGCAAAACCAGGTAGATATCTGTAAGTTCAATTTCAACACGGTCTACATAAGGAGATGCAGTCCAGCCAGGGCTACATGGTGAGACACCGTCACACACTCTCACAAAGAGTGTTTGAGCATCCTCTCCATCCTCATCAGGATCAAGGATGCAATGGTATTTGTCTTCCTTCTACCACCCCAGCTAGCTCTCCCTGTGTAAGGACCAGCATGACTGAGGAATCTGCAGGCAGCATGCTTCTGCATGGTGTGGTGCCCCTAAGTCACCCACAGTGGAACTCTGGGCTGCTTGTGGGAGGAAACAGACAGCAGGTGAGTGCTGGCAGGCCCCTAAGGAAGGAACAGCTTTAGCGTCCTGACAGCAGGAGCGGGATCCTGGGTGTGGCTTTGCTGTGGCTACTCTGTGGTTATGAGTACTCTGTGGTATGACAGTGGTAGGTTGGGTAAAGTTGGTCTGATACAGGCAGTGCTGGGTTCAACTGCCACCTTCCCATTTACAGCCACAGAATCTTAGACAGGCAAGTATTGACAAATTATCCAACTATGTTTTAGTTTTCCCATCTGCAAAACGGCATTAATGATACTTATCTCAAAATATTGGGAAGGTTTTATGATAACACATATTACCTGTATTAACTGAGCATAGATTATGTGCAATATATTTAATATTTGAAACATTTCTTTTATTTTTAATGATGTGCATGGGCTTGTGTCTATGTGTGGGTATGTGCACATCGGAACAGGTGCCCATAGAGGCAAGGAGAGGGTGTCAGAGCCCCCTGGAGTTTGAGTTATAGATGGTTATTAGCTGTCTAAACTGAGTGCTGAAAGCTGAACTCGGGTCTTTGCAAGCACAAAGTATGTTCTTAATGCCTGAGCCATCTCTCCAGCCTCTTCTTTCAATACTGATGCATTCATTTCACACATTAAAACGATTTGGCTGGGGGTACATAACAAGTTACTAACTTTGATGCTATTTACCTTTGCAAACACGGCTCAGGTTGTACAGAGGAAGAAACAGTGACTGTTTCCACTAGCTCTTCTGACACTAGGCTAAAGTTAATTTCATCCATCAAGTGACTGGAGAGCCGAGAGAAGAAGGAAGGTGAGGGACAGGGATTGGTGGAGTGTGTCTGGCACCTTAACACCCCCGTCTCTCATCTCAACTCCATCCTTGACTTCTGTGCCCAAAGCTGCACCTGGATTCCACCAGACAGCCGCAGCAGGGCTGCCCACCTGTCCTGGTGAGCTCCATTCTCACTGTGGCACAGCTGAGGCATTTGAAAGAGTTTCAGTTGGGGATTTGATAAGATCGTGTTTGCTTATGACCATGTCTGTGGGAAACTGTCTTGATGGAGAATTGATGGGGAAAGGCCAGCCCACTGTCCTGGGCAGGTGAGTCTGTGCTGTATAAAAATGTTAGCTAAGGGTGAGCCAGAAAGCCAGCAAGCAGGGCTCCTGCGTGGCCTCTGCATCAGTTCCTGCCTCCAGCTTCCTGCCTCCTGCTCCTGCCATGGCTTCACTGGATGATGGACTGTAACTTGTAAGCCAAATAAACCCTTCTGCCTCCAAGTAGCTATGGCCAGTGTTTTATCACAGCAACAGAAAGCAAACTGGACCCCCAGCCCACCAGTAACCTAGAGCCAGAGACCAAGAGCAAAGGAGCAGGACTGAGCACTAGTTATAGCTTCTGGGATCCACCAACCTTATGAAAGATCAAACTCAATTTAGAAAAGAATCCACTGTTTAGAAATGACCTCATAGGTTACAAAATCAGCCTCAACTGCATTGTGCACTACTACTGGGATGGGGGATATGTGGTTGAGTCTTGTCTACGTGCACAGAAGAAGGTCTTGATAAAAATGATTTTTTGCAAAAGGAGATAAAGCGAGTGGGTAGGAGATGAAGTTACATCATCTCAATATGATAAACAAGAGCTGGGCATGGTGACACTTCTAGAATCCCAGAACTCTGGACATAGAGGTAAGAAGATCAGGAGTTCATGTAGCTTTGCCTACAAGCAAGTCTGAGAACAGCCTGGGCTACATAGGTCTTTAAATAAATAAGCAAAAAAAAAAAATTACATATTTTTTCTGGTTTTTGAAGACTTAGCAAACTAATGGCACTTTACCCTTGCTAATATTAAAGTCTTACTATTTGGGCCAAGGAGTTTTCTCAAAGTGTGCCAGAGGGCAGGTTGTCCTCACATACCATCTGCCAAAGCACAGGTCCCTGAGCCACTCTGGGTCTCCATGAGTCAGAATCTTATGAGGGAAGGATGTGAATCCCAAGACCCGCACTAAGGACATTGTATTTGATTCTGACACACAATAAAATTCCAGACAGGGGCAACAAAAAGAAGGCTGTGACTGTATTACCACATGAGTCTTGATGCTCCAGCTGACAGAAACGTGTTTTGTGATTACATGTCCAGATAGGACACAGATTGCTCGGTGCAGCCTAGAATCATTCATATTCATTTAATGAGGCAGTAGTTATTATGACATAGAGGGACACTATAAAATGATAGAGGTTCCTCTTTTCAAAGTACTTACCAGGTGTGGTATAGCTTGTTTGAGAAGCTGTAAAGGAATAAAAGCAAATTCAGACTGTGTGTTTCAACCACAGGAATCCTGGAAAACCCCTACCTAGGAAGCAATAACCCTGACTCTTATGCATTGATCAACCAGGAACACTGAGGTCAGGTTCACCAGCCTGTGAACAGAAAGTCTTCACTCTGCTATGTAGGCTCCCCAAAAGCCAAAAATCTAACATTGAGGTTCCATTTTCCTTCGTCAAAAGAGGAAAATAGTCTTTGTAATATCAATCAGCACTCTGTGTTCGTGGCGTCCTTCACAGATTACACAGGCGGTGGATCAAAAAATGGGGGAACCCCTGCTCTGTGCTAAGCCTGCAGACATTTCCCCTCCTGTCCTCATCCCAGGAGCACTGTGGTGCTGTAGTGACTTACACTGATGAGATATTCTATTCACTCTATGTCTGGGGATGACTGGAAGGGCAAAGGAGGGCATGTGGGGGTCACACACCAGGTTATATAAAGACTTGAGGATCAGAGGGTCTGCGTATAAGCAAGGGGGTTCTTAGAAAATACCTCCAATGGAGACTGAGAAATAACTGCTCAGGAATGGTGAGAATGTGGTCAATATAGTAGTCCTGGTTTAGCATATGAGTACATATATGTGTGTATGCATGTATTATAGAAACAGCAGGGCTGCTCAGGTCTGGCAGGAGGCATAAGGTTGGGCTGTTCACACTTACAGCCTATGTCCTGCTTGTACATTCTTGAGACCCAGGCACCCTGTTAGGCTCATGTACATTTTCCAAGCTGGGCACAATTTGAAGAGGTGTGTTCCCTGCCCACCAGAGAGGTCCATCATAGTTAGGTGCGAGAAGACATCAACTGACAGTCTCGCACATCAGGCAAGTGCTAGCTGAGATATGATTATGAATATGAATGTGTTGAGAATATGAATAGCCACTGGATGACACACAGTATATGTGTGTGCTTCTGTGTCAATGTCCATATTTGTCTCTGTGTGTATGTCTGGAATTGTATGTGTCAGTGTATCTGAGTGTGTGTGTGTCTGTTCTGTGTGTAAAAATCTGTCTCTGTGTCACGTCACTCTGTGATGTGCATGATGGCTTGTGAGAATATATGTATATGCCTTGCTGTATCCATGTATGAAATAATCTGTATGTTTACGATCATGCAAGTATCTATCACATGGCTTTATCTCTGTGTATATCTGAGTTTACTTATGTCTGAATGTTTGTGTGTGTGTGTGTGTGTGTGTGTGTGTGTGTGTGTGTGTTTCTAAGTATGTTGAGTATAAATCAGGAAGGATCGTCTAAAGGGACAATGTCCTGATCTTTAGAAAGAGTAGTTAGAAGAGTCTAGTAAAGGAGAGGACAAGAATAGACTGGATCAAGAGACCAGAGCAGCCAGAGTGAGCTGAGTGTGGCTACAGGAGGCGATGTTGGAGTGTGGACTGTAGCAAGCACAGCTTTGTAGAGTGGGTGACCTGCAGGAGACTTTTTGATAGGAGAATAAATGAAACCAGGAGGCACTCTGGGCATGGTGCCTCAAACCTTACTGCTTTGCTTCTGAACTCGGAAAATCATATGCAAACTGGATTACGTTTCTCCAAAACAACACTGAGTTACTCCTTGTACAGCATGGGTTTGCTGACCCTGGTGCTTTAGTCTGAGCTTGCTGTTGCTCTTCCATGGGTACCTGTGTCACATAAACTCTAGAGTCCCTGGAGAACTGAGTGGATTCACAGGACCCTGACTGAGAATGCCATTGCTCTGGACATTCAGCAGTCCTTACAGGGGCAATGTGAAAAGGGACAGAATGGAGTTCTGGGAGCCTTAAAAAAGATCTGTGCATACTGCATTTCTGGGAGGCAGAGCTAGTGATCTCTGGGTCATACCTGAGCAGATGACTCCAGCGTCCTCATGGTGTCCACAGTTATGGGAGAGCCAGCCTCGGTGGGAGCAGCTCCACAGGTAGTACTCATGTCCAGTACAGGCCACATCATCCAGGACAATGGGCCCTGAGCCCTGTCCAAACCGGGCACTTCCAGGGGCAGACACTGCCCAGCCACAGCCCAGCTGCCTGCACACCACGTTGGCATCATTGGTGTCCCAGCTGTCATCACACACAGTGCCCCAGGAACCCTGGTAAAGGACCTCCACGCGACCCTGACACCTGTCTCCTCCATTCACCAGCCTCACAGCCAAAGGAGACTCTGTTCCTGGAAAGACATGGTGGATTCTCCTTTGTTGTTCCCGTAGGGATGATGGAGCTGGTGTGATCACGGGCAGCTCTTTCATGGGGTTTAATGCAATATGGGATGTGAGTTCCTCCCATTGTTGCTTCTCGGGTACCCTGTCTTAGAAAGACTTCACCCTGTCACTCTGACTTCACCTTCTCATGAAATGTTCACTACTTGTGTTCTAGACATTAAAGGTGTGTCTGTCACCAGGAGGGCTCTGTGTCTGCAGTGTTGACATGGGTTGAATCTGCCCTGGATGGTGGTCAGACACCTACTCCATCTAGTATCTAAGGCCTTTGAGTGCCATGCACTCTTCTGGATGACAACATCCACTGCAGAACATGGACTGTTTCAGGGAGAGAGAGCAAGCAGAGCCCTCCTACTCCTAACACACAGACTGCACATGGGCACATCCTCCCCACCCTGACCCTCACCCACCAGCAGTAAGGACAAGGAAGAGGAGGTTGCTCTATGACAGACCAAAGGGATAGAATGATGAGCTCCCTGGCAG